GGACAAGTTCTGCACATTATTACAAAATAAATACAAAATTTGACTGATGGACGGACAGATATATAAATTAATATGTATATTAATTTATCACGTCAAAACCTAATGCCACACACATTCAACATGGATATGTAATGGCAAAAAACGTAGTGCTCCACGTGTGAAAGTAGGTCTCTTGGGATTCTCCTGGGCACTCGAACAACGAGTCTTATTTCTATACTGCCTTTGTTCAGAGTCTTAGACAGGTTATATAAATCGATGTCAACACTTCCCCACCTTTACAGGTTGAGGGATGGAGATCTCACTTCTCCTTATGGGCTTTAGACTGGCTCTGAGCCAGAGTGTTGGCTCAGTTTTTGCTATTAGTGGGTCAGATATTGTCGAAAATGGGACCTTACCCATAAAATGTATCCTGCAGGGTACAGCTCGTACGCCTGCATTCTCAATGGATGGGGAGTTCATTATTGGCGGCGTTTTTTCCTTACATTACAAGGAGCTCACAAAGATTCATAGCTACACCACTGCGCCTGAGCCGCCCACCTGCACAGGGAGGTTGGTAAGAGGGAGCATGGTGGGAAATGGAGGGGGTGATATACTGAAAAGTCAGGGTTATGATTTGTGTGATGTAGAAATGTGCAGCAAATTGTAATGACTTATAGACATAAGGATATGTTTTCAAGAATTATTTGCATGACATCCAAATTAATGCGGTCAGTGTAAGAAAATTCTATATAGATACTGATTGAGAAAATCTGACACTGACAACAATAAAGTCAAATTCAAAAAATTAGAATATGCTTTCAAAAGAGGCTCGTTTGTCAGATTAAATGTACAATTTGACAAAGAAAACTTGTAAGCAGTTTTTGCACATTAGATCCACTTTTTTACATTCAGAATGTCTTTGTTACAATGTAACATTCTGATCTGAACTGTAATGCAACCAATAAATCACCATCATTAACAGGAAAAGCTTTAAATAATCAACCTCTGTGGAATTAATCTATATAACACATACTATCAACGGAGATCGTAAAAAACATAAACTTTTTAATTAAATTGACATCTTTTAAGTGTGACTGTACATAGAAAAAATATGAAACGTTTTCGTCATCTATGTTTTTTCTAAGAGTAATTTTGCTGGTGATCATTTGAACTGATGTTATGTTATACATAAAAAGGAGTAATTTAAATGTCTGTGTGCAGTGTCAACAGTCATGAACTACGCCTCGCTCGTGCAATGATCTTTGCAATTGAGGAGATAAACAACAGCACAGAGCTGCTGCCTGGGATTAAACTCGGGTATAAGATCTACGATTCATGCGCCTCTGTGTCTGTGGCCACTCATGTGGCATTTCAGCTGTCAAACGGGGAGGACCCCGTGATTCAGACAGGCCATAATTGTTCTAATTTAGGAGTGGTAATGGGTGTTATTGGTGCCTCTAGTTCCACACCATCTATTGGCATTTCACGCATCTTTGGTCCCTTCAATATTCCTCTGGTAAGAAGTTTGAATTTATCAGAAAATATAAAAATTTATTTCAATGTATGTCTGTTAAAAAGATGAATTGTTGTTTTTGTTGCTTCAGGTGAGCCACTTTGCTACATGTGCATGTCTGTCAGATAAGCAGCAGTTCCCGACTTTCTTCAGAACAATTCCCAGTGACCATTATCAAGCTGATGTGTTGGCCAAACTGGTGAAACACTTTGGCTGGACTTGGATAGGAGCCATTTACTCTAACACAGATTATGGAAGAAATGGCATGGCATCTTTTCTTGAAGCAGCACACAAAGAAGGGATCTGTGTGGAGTACACTGAATCTTTTTATCGGACTGAACCACAAAAGATTCAAATAGTAGCAGATGTCATCCGCAGGTTTGAGCCTCTTCTATTTTCTTAATGTGCTTAGTTAAGATGTAGACCGTTTTTATTAACCACTTCAAAACACTTTTAAGACAATTAAAAACTGATTTCATACAAGTAAATCTGAAAGTAGTTATATACGTTTTTTTTCTCTTCAGGTCAACTTCGATCGTTGTGGTGGCTTTTACAGCCACTGGTGATATGAAACTCCTGTTCGAGGAGCTAAACCAACAACCTTCTCCTCCTCGTCAGTGGATTGGAAGTGAGGGCTGGATAACAGACCTTCAGCTGATGAGATTCAGTTTCTGTGCAGGAGCCATTGGAGTTGCTATTCAGCAATCTGTCATCCCTGGATTTGGAGACTTCCTGCTGGGTCTGTCTCCCTCTGAAGTAGCCGCCTCCTCCATCCTCACAGACTTCTGGGAGGAAGCATTCAACTGCAGCTTGAAGAAAAGTGAGAAACGAACATGATCAGTTCCCAGTTTGATTTGTGTTTTATTTAAAGAATCTTGTCTAAAACTAACAACAGAGTTAAAATGATCAAAGAATACTCATCTAATTTGAAAATATGCACAATTTTTTTTGTTATTTTCAGTTCTTGATACAAAAAAGAGGCTTTGTGATGGAACTGAAGACTTAGTGACTCTCAAGATCCCGTACACCGAAACGTCTAAATTCAGAATTACCAACATGGTGTACAAGGCTGTTTATGCCATAGCACATGCTATTCACACTGCAGTGTGTCAGGAAACTTCATCCACATCTAATTGTAAAAAACGATCAATGTTAGACTTAAGTCAGGTAAGATTTAATTTGAAAAATCATCTTGACACATCATATCATACTAAATAATTTCATTCAACAGAGTGCAGTTCTTGGTGCCCCTTCCATTATTTTATCGCATGTCCTCAGGTTTTTACCAAACTGAAGGAAGTCAACTTCACCCAGAATGGTTACCATGTGTCATTTGATGCTAATGGAGACCCTGTGGCTTTTTATGAAGTTGTCAACTGGCAGAAGAGTGAGAGTGGGATTATTGAACCGATAACAGTGGGGTACTATGATGCTTCGCTGCCAAAAGGCCAGGAGTTTTGTATCAACAGGAACTTAACCTGGTTGGATGGAGGCCTGGAAGTAATGGCAAAAATGCAACATTGCTGTTTGAAAATAGCTGTGTAGCACATGGTTACTTTTTTCCTAATTTCTATTTTTTTCTGTTTTCCAGGTTCCAGTCTCCGTTTGCTCAGAGAGTTGTCCTCCAGGAACTCGCAAAGTGTTGCAGAAAGGAAAACCAATCTGCTGCTATGACTGTGTACCATGTCCTGAAGGAGAGATCAGTAATATGACAGGTGAACCTGTTTAACAAGTACATTTTTACAATCACATATTTTAAATACTTACAACCATTTCTGACTTTATATTTAGATTCTCCTGATTGCGCCGCATGTCCCAGAGAGTTCTGGCCTAATGCAGAAAAAGATGCCTGTTTCCCCAAAGCTGTGGAGTTTCTTTCCTTCGATGAAATCCTGTCAGTCATCCTGGCCGTATTCTCCATTAGTGGAGCCTGTTTGGCCATAATTACTACAGTGATTTTCTTCCATCACAGAACAACACCGATTGTCAGAGCCAACAACTCTGAGCTGAGCTTCCTGCTTCTCTTCTCTCTGACTCTGTGTTTCTTATGTTCACTAACTTTCATTGGAGCCCCCTCTGAGTGGTCCTGCATGCTGCGGCACACAGCGTTTGGCATCACATTTGTTCTCTGTATCTCCTGTGTACTTGGGAAAACTATAGTGGTTCTAATGGCCTTTAAAGCTACACTTCCTGGTAGTAATGCTATGAAATGGTTTGGTCCTCTTCAACAAAGGTTGACTGAAGTGGCTCTCACATTTATTCAAGTTATAATATGTATCATTTGGTTGGTTGTGAGTCCTCCCGTCCCAGTGAAAAATCTGAGCACCTACAAGGAGAAGATCATCCTGGAATGTGCGTTAGGCTCTGCTGTTGGTTTCTGGGCTGTGCTTGGCTACATCGGCCTGCTGGCTGTGTTTTGCTTTGTGTTAGCTGTTCTAGCTCGGAAACTACCTGATAATTTCAACGAAGCCAAGATGATAACCTTCAGCATGTTGATATTCTGTGCCGTCTGGATCACCTTCATCCCAGCTTATGTCAGCTCTCCTGGAAAATTTACTGTGGCTGTGGAGATATTTGCTATTCTGGCCTCCAGCTTTGGACTGATACTGTGTATATTTGCTCCAAAGTGTTTCATCATTTTGTTTCAACCAGAGAAGAACACTAAAAAATATTTAATGAACAAAAACTAAAACCAAAAACAAGTTTGTAAAG